GTTTATATTTAACTTCTCTTGATACTGTAAATACTGTGACTACTCCTCTTATTACTAGGCCTACTTCTGTTACTACTGTTGTTAATACTGTGACTATTGGTGTAATTGCTAGGCCTACTACTGTTACTATTGCAAGGCCTACTACTGTTACTATTACTACTACTGTTTTGCTAGGCCTACTACTGTTACTATTACTACTCTCGTTATTATTGCAACTACTGTTATTGCTATACTACTCACTATTACCACTACTGTTGGCATTACTAGGCCTCCTGCTGTTACTATTCAGAAATGAGTTGGAGACGTGCGGGGAATTGAACCAGCGTCCTGTCTTTATGTGTACCGTTACTACCACTACCGTTGTTACCGTTAATTTTGTCATTACTACTACACAGAGCCCTACAAACGCCACTCACACTGCAACCTAAATGTTTTCCCAATATATGATAAATAACGTAAGTTTGTTTTACTCTGTTGGACACCTTGTTCAGTCCAGCCAGAATGGTAACGATTTGTTGAAGACGTTATGAATAACGTCTCTATCTGCTGACTGTCCGTTGTTGAGAGTGAAGATATTTCAGGCATTATTTCCCGGCTTTTCAAAGGAGATCAGCGGGCTGGAAACGTATTAAATCTTTGAATACAAATTCCTGCGTTACTGTGAGTTGGCCTACAGGTTGCTGTGGCTTCTCTTCATTTGCCACAGCGTTCAAAATACATGGTGCTAACCTAGCTAGAAGTGTACGAACCCAAACCACCCACCTAACTTAACCAATCAAGGCATAGAAAACGTGGATAGATGTAATCCGACACTTTCCATAGTACTTAGTAATTTGTACGTCGGGTGCCATGACGTGCAAAATGAGGCGTACTGTTGAGGGAGTTATGAGGAGAAAGCGCTAAGCCATTACGACTATATAGCACTTGGAAGGATAAGGATTTGGAATGGGACGGGGTGGAGGAAGGAATGGTGCCCAACCACTTGGACGGTCGGGGATTGAACGCCGACCTGCATGAAGCGAGACTGTTGCTCTACCGTCTTGTCCAAGTGGTTGGGAGGGTACTGGTTAAGAGGACGGGCTGAGTGGTTCCAGTCGCCATATGCTCGTTACCAGTTGCCATGTGTGGGGCGGAAGCTGGAGAACAGCAGCAAAGTAATGTGCGGAATGAGAGCCAACAGTGCCAAAAAGGTACTCATTCGGTCGCCATATGTGCCACACTAAATTAGCATCACGTATCAACATCATTTTAGACTGATCAGTAGAGCCTAGCCTTGTCTGTTGCAGTGTCGGAGTTCGATCCCCGATTGGCTAAGTGGTTAGGAGTTGTTCCTTCACTCTGTTCTCATATCCCAGCTCCTCGTTATCATATCCCTTCTCTATATAGTCATATGTGGCTTAGCGCCATATTATGATAATTACCTTAACAAAATACCCACAGTAAACCCCAACCACTTCAGGCGGCAAGCTGGAAGCTATTTATGTATTACTATGTCAGCCTACTATACTAAAATGAGTCTACTAAAATTAAGTACTCTCCTAAAATGAGAGTACTTAAAGCAACTGTTTGGTCGAACATCTCAATATGTACTGTTGGTCCCAACAAGATCACGTTTTGTACTATTAATTTAATACGGTCAGAAAAATAGGTTGAAACCCTACTTAAACATTCCTAGGTCAAGTATAGTATATATATGTACTATTTTAGGTCTAGGATAGCATGTATTAGGCCTAATATTGGACATGTTCGTTAGGTTCCTTAGTTACATTTCCAATTCAATAGAATACCTCATATAGAATGCCAATTCAATAACACGAAACATGAACGATTATTTGGGGTCCAACAGAACATATTGGTACGTCTGACCAAATAGTCACTTTAAGTACACTCATTTTAGGAGGACAAGCTGAAATTTGTAAACATTATACGGCGGGAAGCCATGGATGATCGACCATCCGTCTGCCATCCACACATCCGCCAAAACGACCAAGAAGCTCCCGATCTTAGTCTAAGAGGCTGGATTGCAACACGTAAGGTTTAACCCCAAGCGCCCGCCAGGGGCCTAACGATTGCATCATCTACGCCAACTCTGGCGCCACTAAGTCGCAGACGCCAGGGTGACGCCAAGCTTCCTGTTGCCTACAGTTGCGCGATGCTTCCCTGCAGTCACGGCCATGTTTCTCTACATGTATTAGTCAATAATTCCCTGATGTTCCTCGAGTCATACTGCAACTTGGTCAGCTTAGCTGGCCTATTTCTGTTACACTTGTTGATGTTATAATTAGGCCTATAATTAAGCCTAGCTTCAAGAATGAAGCTAGACTTCTCTAAGCTTCCGTCCTGCACTTTGAGTGGGGGCTGATGGCGACAAAGTTAAGGTAACCTTCGGGTTCCCAAAGTGGAGGTGGGGGAATCAGTGGGTCATTATTAATTGTACAATACAGGAGTTAAGTTACAATAACGTTGCTCAAACAAAGAACTCAATCCACACATGTTAAATGAAACGAAATTGAGTTAGTTAAGGCTCGTCCTCTAATTATTATTATAGTTTAGCGTTATATGAAAAGACTTTCTTCCCTTTGGCTTTGGATTGTTGGTGAACTAATATAGTTACTAAACCTGTCAAGACGCTTCCACTCAGGTACACTGGTAACAAGTGACTCTCTTAACGCGCTATTTCCCCTGAAAGTCTTATTCTGTAACATTTCTACATTGTTCACCCTCGATCACCTTGTTTGCTCGTCGTCTTTGCTTTCCACTCCTCGTAAATTCTAATTCGTACAACCTTCAATGTCTCAATATCATCGAATGGGGTTATTTCTTAACATTACGCTATATAGTCATAACGGCTTAGTGCTTTCTCCTGATTACCTTATTATTTATTCGTTTAATGTGGCCAAACCACCTCGATGTACTCAATCATTATATATGTTGACTTTTAATTATATTTTAAAGTCATTATTTGCTACATTTTTCCATCTTGCGTTATATCTGTAGCATAGAACTATGTAGTTTGTTCTATATTCAGCGTTTATCGTAATACACATTTCTCACAAGTAGTAATTATTTGCCCAATTAACAAATTTAAAACCATTTGTTTTGTCGGGGACTGAGAGCCTGTATATATATATATATATATATATATATATATATTAGTATATTTTGGTAGCAGTCTTTCCTGTAGACATATTTTATTAAATATGACCGAAGAGACAACTAACACAACACCTATACCCCCTATTAGACTATTTTACAGGAACTTCTTTTCCACAGCTCATAAAACAGAGGAAAGGGTCCTGAAAGATATTGTTAATAGAAACGTTATCCCTACAGACAAAAATCAGAGGATACAACTGACGATTTACTATAAAACCAGAAAAACGGCCAGCCTACTCATGAGAAACTCTCCAGACACGAAACAGAACGCTTTAAAAGAGACTAACGTCGTCTATGCCTTCAAATGCCCACTTGGGGACTGTAAGCTCCAAAAAACCCAGTATATAGGCAAGACAACAACATCTCTTTCTAGGCGTTTAACGATGCATAAACAACAGGGCTCCATTAAGGAACATATAATCTCTTCCCATAACCAAACCATCGCCAGAGAAATCCTAGTAAACAACACAGAAATCATCGATAGATACAGCGATAGCAGGCGGCTAGACGTTTGCGAGGCACTACACATCAAGAAGTCAACACCAGCAATCAACAGCCAATTATTGCACAACTATATTCTACCCACCTCAAGACTCCGCTCCAATATAGAAGCATCAAGAAATATGGACCAATAGGCTTTCTACAAACACTTCTATTCAATATCCATTGTTTCGTGTTCTGTCTTGTGTTGATACTTTTAATACCCTATTAATATCCTCTAATGCCACATCATCCTTCCCACCTTACTCAAATGTAATGCCACATCACCCTTCCCACCTCACTCAAATGTAGATATAAAATCAGGGAAACGCAAGTTCTAATCAGTTGTGTATTTGTGAAGTCTTTGAAAATGTAATAAGTTTTACGAAACGCGCCCGTGTCGCGTCAGACTAGAAATAAAAATGAATTTTGGAGAAGTGATTTTTGATTTACCTCCAACAGTGAAGCATAATGTACGAAAGATTGAGAAAATTCGTGTTAGAATTATTAATCTTACTTTTTCGGTCATATTTAATATATATATATATATATATATATATATATATATATATATATATATATATATATATATATATATATATATATATATATATATATATATATATATATATATATATATATATATATATATATATATATACTTGGCTTATATCGAGGTATGCCCCCCGTCTCCTCAAGGTCTAACTATTAACCCTCTCCAAGACGTAACTACACAACAGTTGACTAACAGAGGCATTAGGTGAACATGTACCACACTAGTTCTGCCCCGCCCGGGATGCCCGAGTGAGGATGCCCGAGTGAGGATGCCCGAGTGAGGATGCCCATGCCCGAGTGAGGATGCCCGAGTGAGGATGCCCGAGAGAGGATGCCCGAGTGAGGATGCCCCCCGAGTGAGGATACCCGAGTGAGGATGCCCGAGTGAGGATGCCCGAGTGAGGATGCCCGAGTGAGGATGCCCGAGTGAGGATGCCCGAGTGAGGATGCCCGAGTGAGGATGCCCGAGTGAGGATGCCCGAGTGAGGATGCCCGAGTGAGGATGCCCGAGTGAGGATGCCCGAGTGAGGATGCCCGAGTGAGTGGAAAACGAGCCCAAACTGAACCACCGAGACCCAAGCTGTTTTAAAAACGAGGGGAAAATTTATTTTAATGAGTAATAAATGGAGGAATTGGGGAGGCAGGGTTGAGAAAGTAATGATGTAATAAGAGATAATGAGAGACGTGAAGAATGCGAGAGAAATAGGGATAATTAGGTAAGAAGTAACGGAGCAATTAAATTACATATTAGTGAAAAATATTAACAAAATAAAATTCGCGAGTTAATAGAAAAGACATATGACAGGACTTTAATTCGTGACACTGTTGAGGACAGAACCATCCCTGACGGTACTGTGGCGGACAGAACCATCCCTGACGGTACTGTGGCGGACAGAACCACCCCTGACGGTACTGTGGCGGACAGAACCATCCCTGACGGTACTGTGGCGGACAGAACCACCCCTGACGGTACTGTGGCGGACAGAACCATCCCTGACGGTACTGTGGCGGACAGAACCATCCCTGACGGTACTGTGGCGGACAGAACCATCCTTGACGGTACTGTGGCGGACAGAACCACCCCTGACGGTACTGTGGCGGACAGAACCATCCCTGACGGTACTGTGGCGGACAGAACCACCCCTGACGGTACTGTGGCGGACAGAACCATCCCTGACGGTACTGTGGCGGACAGAACCACCCCTGACGGTACTGTGGCGGACAGAACCATCCCTGACGGTACTGCTGCGGGCAGAACCATCCCTGACGGTACTGCTGCGGACAGAACCATTCCTGACGGTACTGTGGCGGACAGAACCATCCCTGACGGTACTGTGGCGGACAGAACCATCCCTGACGGTACTGTGGCGGACAGAACCATCCCTGACGGTACTGTGGCGGACAGAACCATCCCTGACGGTACTGTGGCGGACAGAACCACCCCTGACGGTACTGTGGCGGACAGAACCATCCCTAACGGTACTGTGGCGGACAGAACCATCCCTGACGGTACTGTGGCGGACAGAACCATCCCTGACGGTACTGTGGCGGACAGAACCATCCCTGACGGTACTGTGGCGGACAGAACCATCCTTGACGGTACTGTGGCGGACAGAACCATCCCTGACGGTACTGTGGCGGACAGAACCATCCCTGACAGTACTGTGGCGGACACAACCATCCCTGACGGTACTGCTGCGGGCAGAACCATCCCTGACGGTACTGTTGCGGACAGAACCATTCCTGACGGTACTGTGGCGGACAGAACCATCCCTGACGGTACTGTGTCGGACAGAACTATCCCTGACGGTACTGTGGCGGACACAACCATCCCTGACGGTACTGTGGCGGACAGAACCATCCCTGACGGTACTGTGGCGTACAGAACCATCCTTGACGGTACTGTGGCGGACAGAACCATCCCTGACGGTACTATGGCGGACAGAACCATCCCTGACGGTACTGTGGCGGACACAACCATCCCTGACGGTACTGCTGCGGGCAGAACCATCCTTGACGGTACTGTTGCGGACAGAACCATTCCTGACGGTACTGTGGCGGACAGAACCATCCCTGACGTTACTGCTGCAGACAGAACCATTCCTGACGGTACTGTGGCGGACAGAACCATCCCTGACGGTACTGTGGCGGACAGAACCACCCCTGACGGTACTGTGGCAGACAGAACCATCCCTGATGGTACTGTAGCGGACAGAACCATCCCTGACGATACTGTGGCGGACAAAACCATCCCTGAGGGTACTGTGGCGGACAGAACCATCCCTGACGGTACTGTGGCGGACAGAACCATTCCTGACGGTACTGTGGCGAACAGAACCATTCCTGACGGTACTGTGGCGAACAGAACCATTCCTGACGGTACTGTTGCGGACAGAACCATCCCAAACGGTACTGCTGCGGACAGAACCATCCCTGACGGTACGGCTGCAGACAGAACCATCCCAAACGGTACTGTTGGACACAAACATTCCCGGCACCGGTGTGAGACAGACGCACCCCCGCGGTACAACGCACACAACAGCAAAATAAAGGTTCGGTGCCTAGGATATTTGAGGAAGAAACAAGGGCAGAGGGACGTATTTTATCGCTGGTATTTACATCCATAACTCAGACCAATACATTCATAACGCGTGTACCAGCGGCGGTTGTGGGGTGCTCACTCTTATTGTTCCTTGTGATCGCTCTTTACTACCATTAGTTTAATGTTATTAATGACAAATAGTTGTTTAATATGTCCTATGGAGAGGCCAGTCACAGTTGGAAACGCAAGTAACGTTATTAATACCTTCGTCACTAACGAGATCAACTGCTGTTAAATTTATTCTCAGCGTCAGTAATAAACGCTGATTTATATTACCTTTCGTGTTTTTCAATTGGTAATTGTGCGAAAAAAATTCATGCCAGGTTTGAGCTACTTTTTTTTTGGAGCTGTAGTTTTTGTTTCACTTCTCGAGTTTTTAATACGGCTAATGATGAAAACATGATTTGGCAATAAATATTTTTTCTACTAAATTTCATACGATCTTTATTTTGTAATATATTAAATTATAACTTTTTATAGCGCAGTGGACATCGTATGGTAGGCTTACAGCTGAATGGTCTCGGGTTTGATTCCCGCGCAGGACGCGACGTTTGGGCATATACCCTAACACCTGAGCTGTTCATCGTGAAGTAAATAGCTATCGTGTTTCAGGCAACTGTTGTGGGTTGCATGCTGGCTAAGTTCAATCGTTGGCTTAGAACGTCTTGGGAGTGTTCGATAAACCTAACAGGCTTCCTGTCCCCGACAATGGGGCATATAAAGATATGACGATCGAACCACACATTGGAAAATGAAGAAACGACGTCATTTCGGTCCATCCTGGACCTTTATCACTTCGTGTGATACAAGAGAGGAGGTACAGGCAAATAAAAGGTATTGTTGTTCTATGATCAGCTGATTCTTGTCATCCAAAACGAAGATGGCGGCGATGTTGTTAATAAAGATTACGGTGATGTTTGTACTGAATGGTAAATGAAGAGAAGGGTCTAATTTACGAGAATACTGAAACTAGTTCAAGGAATCATTTACTTTATAATTGTAACAACATTATATAAATGCGATATAATTATAACGATCAGTGACAGTCAATTACTATTCATTCCTTCTTTAACAAAGAAATAATGATCTCGAAGCTTTGAAATCTAAGTGGATAGCGAGTTAAGTATTTGAATTTGAATTTGAAAATCTTACCGTTACCGGTGAGTACTACAATGTCTAAGGCGTTACTATAAACCATTCCTACCCTTGACAATGTTCCAGATGCATATTCATTATTAAACCTTTACAAATCCAATGTAAAGATTAATGTGTTTGTATTTATTTTTATCAGTGGCCAGAAACACAGTTTAATTCGGAATGGTATACGTGTTTGTTCAAACTTTTCGAATATTAATAATTTGTAATGAATGTTTTCGCGTTAACTCAGTTAATAAATAAAAATGCTGATGCTTGAAATAAAGAATTCTGGCGTCTCGTACTTGTTTTTTGACTTGTTTTATTTGAAATATTAATAAGGATTTTAAAACAATAAAGTTTTGCTTTACTTCTCTACGTACCCTCTCCTCCTTCCCCCTCACCCCTCTCCTCCGTCCCCCTCACCCCTCACCTCCTTCCCCCTCACCCCTCACCAATGTACACCTCACCTTCACCTCTCTACACCTCACTTTCACCACAATTCAGATTTAGTGACCAGAATATAACATACTAGAAAGTATCCGGTGGTGCCCGGGTCTCTCTCTCCCTTTCCCCACTCTCCGTCTCTCTCAATCTCCCCCTTTCATCTCCCTTTCCATATCTCCCTCTCTCTTTCGACCTTCCCAGTACTACCCTCCCCACCTTTCATCCTAAGTAACATCTAATATACTCGAGGAGGAGGGAATTATCTTATTAAGTGATATTGGTAATTAGTGCAGTTTGGTATTTAATGCAAAGGTGGAACACGAGTTTTGACCTCGACCACACAATGATAAGCAAGATAAACAATGATAAACAAGATAAACAAGACCATTCCCCTGCAATAGCTAGCTAGTGAGACTAGCACCAAGCATCTAGCCGCGTTCTTTGGAGAGACAGGTATTTTCTCTTATAGATATAGATACATATATATATTGATAGATATAGATGAGAGAATAAATACGTCACCTAGAGGAGTAGGGTTGAATATTTAGCCCGTTCTTTCAAGCGTTCACGTCACTAAACTGATGTACTAAATTACCCTAACCTAACCTAACCAAGGACCCGCGAATACAAAACGGGACATCACGTCAGTCTTACTTTGACGTTGGGGGTCTTTACGTTAACACTGTGTGTTATGGGAGGGACAATTTTGATACATTAAAGAGGATCTTTCATGCTCAGAACTCCAAGACTCAACAAATGATGTGGTAGAAATACTTTGAATTAAAGTAATGAAAATAAACCTACTTACTATTCTAAAATACAAACCACTAGATTCGATAGTTTAGGAATGTACAGAACAGACAACAAACAATAATTTAAATTAAACAGAGAGATTAAAGAAATAGAGCAAAGGCTGGACCAATCATAACGGACGGAAGAAATGTACTTGAAAAATAAAGTTAAACAAGAGATAAAGAATTATTATAAATTTTCCATACAGTTCAGAGAAGATGACAAAGAAATCTGCGATGGCCTAAAGAACAGAACGAGGCTATATTTAGCACCCAGTTGACAACATGAAATTTGGATATCCGGACAATTACCTTATGAGCGATAATTAACCTCCTGACAATATTACTGATAGTAACACGATCACTCCCAGGTTTCCATATTTACAAATAAAGGTAAAGTACCAGTAGCACGAGTACTCAGTGTGGTTTGGAAGAAAAAACTTGCATATCAGGGAGATACCAGAAGCCCTTAAATCCGCAGATTTAGCTCCACTACACAAATAAAGTAGCGAAGCATTGCCTGAACACTACACACCAGTCACACTAACATCACACATAAAAGTGTTTGATGAAAAAGTGATAGAGTCGGTAATGCTTAAACAGCCTCAGGAAAAGACAAACTCAATATAAATGTATAAATTTAAAAATATTATTTTATATATATAAACGTATAAATTTTCGAGTATAACTTTTTATAGTCAAAGAAAACAAAATTGGGCACGCTTCCTACTCGACAGCGTCAGCATTCCTCAGCTGGGCGGCCCAACTTGTTGACAAAGAATGAAGACGCCCAGGAGAAAATATATACATCATCGTCTTGCCTGGCAACACTTCGTCAAGGATACGTAGGCTCCTAGCTGCGTGAGGGGAGCTGGGGGAGAGCCGAGGCAGGAAGGGGTATGGGGTGGGACAAGGGAACAGGGAAGGTGGACGAGTTTAGGGGAAAGGGATGTTGAGGGTGAGAGGCACCGGCTCATAATTTGCGTAATCCGTTGAGAGAAAATTGTCAAAAGTTGCTCATGTCCGGCGCTTTTGTCTTTGGGTCCGTTGATGTTTGTGGGGTGGTTGGGGAGGGTGTTTGGGGGTGAGTGTTGGGCCTGGTGTTCAGGTAGTTGAGACAGGTGTTAGGATGTGTGTCGGGGTGGATGTTGGGTTGGCGTGGGTGTTCGTGATGGGTATAAATTCAGTCTGGTGGCAAATATTTTTATGTGCTAGGTGAGGTGAGGTGAGGTGAGACCCTACCACCTGTGTGTATGACAAGGCCTCGTCACCTGTGTGTATGACAAGGCCTCGTCACCTGTGTGTATGACAAGGCCTCGTCACCAAAGTGTATGACAAGGCCTCGCTACCTGTGTGCATGGCAAGGCCTCACCACCTGTGTGTATGGCAAGGCCTCACCACCTGTGTGTATGGCAAGGCCTCGCTACCTGTGTGTATGGCAAGGCCTCGCCACCTGTGTGTATGACAAGGCCTCGCCACCTGTGTGTATGGCAAGGCCTCGCCACCTGTGTGTAGCTGTAGCTATGTGTGTGTGTGTGTGTGTGTGTGTGTGTACTCACCTAGTTGTACTCACCTAGTTGTGTTTGCGGGGGTTGAGCTCTGGCTCTTTGGTCCCGCCTCTCAACCGTCAATCAACAGGTGTACAGATTCATAGGCCTATCGGGCTCTGTCATATCTACACTTCAAACTGTGTATGGAGTCAGCCTCCACCACATCACTTCCTAATGCATTCCATTTGTCAACCACTCTGACACTAAAAAAGTTCTTTCTAATATCTCTGTGGCTCATTTGGGCACTCAGTTTCCATCTGTGTCCCCTTGTGCGTGTTCCCCTTGTGTTAAATAGACTGTCTTTATCTACCCTATCAATCCCCTTCAGAATCTTGAATGTGGTGATCATGTCCCCCCTAACTCTTCTGTCTTCCAGCGAAGTTAGGTTTAATTCCCGTAGTCTCTCCTCGTAGCTCATACCTCTCAGCTCGGGTACTAGTCTGGTGGCAAACCTTTGAACCTTTTCCAGTTTAGTCTTATCCTTGACTAGATATGGACTCCATGCTGGGGCTGCATACTCCAGGATTGGCCTGACATATGTGGTATACAAAGTTCTGAATGATTCTTTACACAAGTTTCTGAATGCCGTTCGTATGTTGGCCAGCCTGGCATATGCCGCTGATGTTATCCGCTTGATATGTGCTGCAGGAGACAGGTCTGGCGTGATATCAACCCCCAAGTCTTTTTCCTTCTCTGACTCCTGAAGAATTTCCTCTCCCAGAACCAGTTGGGTTAAACTCTAACAACCATTTGTTCGACCATTCCTTCAGCTTGTCTAGGTCTTCTTGAAGCCTCAAACAGTCCTCTTCTGTTTTAATCCTTCTCAAAATTTTAGCATCGTCCGCAAACATTGAGAGAAATGAATCGATACCCTCCGGGAGATCATTTACATATATCAGAAACAAGATAGGACCGAGTACAGAGCCCTGTGGGACTCCACTGGTGACTTCACGCCAATCGGAGGT